GAAACGAACTCAACTTGATCCGTGGGAGCATCTTGAGAGGCTAGGAGTTCTCCGGGGATGCGGAGGGCGGTCCCAAAAACCATCTCTGCCGGTGATGCCTGAAGGTCTGGCTTGAAGGTGGTGCGGAGGCCTAGGAGAACTGTCGGAAGCGCCTGCGGCCATGGGGTATCCGGACAGCACATCAGCGCGGCCTTGAGCGTTCTGTGTAGGCGGCGTTCCACCATCCCGTTTGATTGGGGGTGGTACGGAGCGGTGAATTTGTGATTCGCGCACAGTAGCGTGCGAAGTTGGACGAACAGGTTAGCTTGAAACCGTCTTCCTTGGTCGGACGTAATCGACAGAGGTGTGCCGAAAGTGCTGATCCACCCTTCGAGGAGTGCCCTCGCGACTGACGGGGCGGTTTGATCTGTCAGCGGGATTGCCTGGGGCCAGCGGCTGTATCGGTCCACGATTGTCAGGCAGTATTGGTACCCTTGAACCAGAGGAAGCTTAATTAGGTCGATATGAATGTGTTCGAACCTGCTATCCGGTGCGTTGAAGTTCAGGTATTTGAACTTGTGTTGAAAACCTCCTATTTGTATACAGGGTGTGTATAAAAAATGTGAAAATTTGAACTTCAAAAATATCAATATTCTTCATTTTTTTAAATGGAATCACCCATTTTTTCTGTTTTATTAAAATCAGCGGTAAAAAATTGGGGGAAGTTAATGTTTACTTCCCTATAACTAAACCTAATAGGTTTGATGATATTAATGATGTTATGAAGATGATGTTATTATCACCGGTTTGATTAAAGTTGGCTTTGAGGTAGGTGATTTCATTTAAAAGGAGTTCGTTGGTGTTAAGAAGTAGGAAAAGTTCCTTTTGGGAGCATTATTTTAGAGGTAAATTTCGGATTATTATGGAGTTGAGGGGTGGTTGTTGAGGGGTGAGGGTTGGGGTAGGTGCTTGTGAAATAGGCGAAAATATAAGAGGGGGTGAGGTAATTAGGGAGGTAGAAGAGGAAATAAAAGAGGCGGAGGAGGAAGAGGGTATTTTGGAGGGTGAGGGGGTAGATTCGTAGGGTAACTTGAGTTGGTTTGTATCCATTGTCGGGTGGTAGGGGAAGATTGAACAATGGAGGAAAATGATTTTGTCTTGGGATTAGGGGGTGTTGAAATGGTTTTTTGGGGAGCATTTTGTCGAAATGGGGGGTTGAATCCCGTGTGGGTGGTCATTGGGTTCTTTTTTGGGGTGTATAGGTAATTTGATTATGGGTGGGTTTCGGAATACTTATCTAACTTATAAAACTGGGTAGCTGAAAGCTTATCGGAATCTGTTTCAGTCCCGATACATCCCTTCTTCTGTCACAGTGATTAACAATTCGATTAACCTTTATGGGTACAATCTGTATAAAGCAAACAAATGTCTTAAATACATTATTTAATCGAAAAACTAACAAAAAAGTAATTTTGTTTAAAGTTGATAAAATTAACGTTTTTTGAGAAATATTAATTTTTTGATTGAGATGATAGGTATAGAGAGAAATTTTTGGATAAACAAAAATTCTGGACAAACTGTTATTATTTGTAACTCTTTACTAAAAATACTGAAAGAAAACAATAGATCCAATAAATTTTCAAATGGATGTTAGGCATTATCGTAATGCAATTTTTATATTTTTTTTATCTTAAAAATTCCGTGTACTCAACACCGATACAAACAAGAGATGGACAGAATAATTTTTTATTGTGAAAGCAAAAAATGCTTTTTAGAGTGCAAAGAAATATCCTCTTTATGTTTTATTAATGTATTCAGCGACAGGGTTCCCATATATATCGAACATTTATTATAATATTTTCGTTTGGTGATCAATAAAAGATTTTCTTAACATCCTTATTAAAAAATAGAAATTTCACATAAACCTTATTAAAATAATATTTATTCATTGCCGCCAATGTCTTCTAGGGAGTTAACGAATATTATCAAAATAATATTTATTCATCCACTCAAGTTCAAATAGATTTTTTTAAACTTGTAGCGACATTTGTTTTTCTTAATATTAATGCATGGATTTCGATTAAATTTAAGTTCTAAATAGTTCTAATGCAATAATAGTTCTAATCCTGAAGTACTCTAAATTGTTCTGAACTAGTTTTAATGCATCCAGAAGCACTCTAAATTGTCCTGGACCAAATTCTTGTTAACTTTGTAAGAACACTTTTGTTCAGTTCATATCAGTTCTTAGATTGTATTTTTTCGAGGTAGAAATAGTTAAAATAATTATCATAAAAATAGTACATTGAAACTTTTATAGTCTTTAGTGAAGAATTAAATTTTTTAAAAACAATTTTTATAAGTAATGAACTTTTTTACTCGCGCCAGAATCATTAAGAACTCTTTAGAATCATTTAGAACTGTAAAGAATGATTTAGAACCGTCTAGAACAATTTAGAATGCCCCAGAAAGATTAAGAACTGTTTAGAATAATTTAGAACTTTTTAGAATCATTTACAACAACCCAGAATCATTTAGAAATGTCTAGAATTATTTAGAACTGTAGCGAATGAATTAGAACCGTCTGGAACAATTTAGAATGCTCCAGAAACATTAAGAACTGTTTAGAATAATTTAAAACTTTTTAGAATAGATTTGGAATAGATTTATTCAACAGAAAGTTTCCTAATAGACCCACAATACCCTACAAAAAACTAATAGACAATTTTCAACAAAATGACCAAAAAAAAACATTTCCAAAGCTCCTATTCCCAAACCTAAATCATTTTCTACCATTTTACAATCTCCAAAGTACTTTCTTCCTCATCCGCCTCCTCTATTTCCTCATCTATTAAAGGTTGAAGGTGAAATAAATATAAAATGTTTTGTTATTATACTGTTTAATCCTTATCCTGCTATAATTGAGATATTAATAATGGCTGAAGGTGAAAATAATATTCTTGCAAATATTATAGCCTTAGCGCATGATGGTAATAACGATGACGATAATATGGATGTTCTAAATGCATTGATATTGGGTCTCGATGAACCAATTGGAAATGATAATCTACAAGGACATCCACGAGTAAGGAAACCTAGGAATGATGATTTTCTTAAAGTGACCGTCCCAAGATTCTCAGATGATCTTGTCAAAGAACATTTTCGAATGATTAGAGGAGCCTTTCAGGTATGTTTCTCAATTACAAAATATTAAATATGTTGATCATTAATAAAATTTCAGAACCTACGCAACATGCTGGGAAACAATATTGCTCACAATAGGGTCAATATTGACTTTGATAAAAAAAAATATTTTCTCTATGGACCATCGGAAACCGGAGTGTTTCTTAGCTGCAGGAGATAGATTTGGACTCGCAAGAAGCACTGCTCATGGAGTATTTAAAATCATTGTGGATTCGTTGGCAAATTTGATTCCACAGTACGTTCAGTTTCCGAATGCACAGTAAATGCTGATATCAGCAAATGTAAGCAATTTTCTGTTTTTAATGGTCGAGAAATGTCTGTTGTAAAGGTGTAATTATTAATTAAAATATTACTATTTTAGAACTTCCAAGCACTATCACAAGCACGATATGACGGATGTCATATTGTGTAAAAATTGAAATAGTATGATTAAATTGTAAAAGGATTGTTAATCCAAGCAAGTGAGAATCTTACAAAATTGGGATGTTTATAGGGGACAAAGGATCTTCTACAAAATCTTTGGTGGGCTTAGAAGAGCAAGCAATTAGAGCGGTTATAAAACAATTTTAGAGCGATTTAGAACCGGTTTTAGAAGAGCAACTGGACGTTTAAAAGCGATTTGTGAAGAACAATTGGATAATATCTCCAAAACTGCAGGAGCTCAATAAATATCAAAATAAAATTTGAAATTTCGGTAGATCGGTAATGAAGCGTTTGTGGATCAATTTTTATATGAACTTAGTCAACATAATACAACAAACATAATACTCTCAAAAAAAATATAATATTCACCAAAACAAATATTCTACACAATTTTATTTTTTTGAGTTAACAGTAATTTTGCTACTACTAATTGATCGGATACTACCTAACTATTTGATATTAATATAAAATAACTGTTTACACGGGAAAGTAATATTGTGTAGAATATTTGTTTTGATCCAATTCATATGCGACTGGGCTCGTACTCACAGAACACAACAAACAATCTTTCAATAAGGGTTAAATAAAGCAAAAATACTAATTAAATATTTTATTATAAACTGAAACTGAAAAAATTAAAAGAACTGTTAACTGATCAAAAGAACGTATTAATTGGTATTATTTTAAAATGAATTAAAAAAAAAACAGAAATTGTATTTAATAATACAGCCCATTTCACTGATAATAATTCTCATTAAATAATATTACATTGTAAAGATTGCGATAGTCTCCTTTTGAATCTTTAATTGAGTAATCTTTATTTGGCTCAATTATAAGTAAACCGTTTGCTTTATCTAAATTACTTAATACGCTTGGTACTTCCTTTGCAGTTGTCAAAGTCCTATTTACTTTAACTAGTCGATACTCTGGACAATCATCATTATTATATGGTAACGAACGCTAAAAAATGAAATTTATTGTAATATTATATTTTATACTCTGTTTTCTATCAAGAAATAGTAAAAAAATAATAAAACAGTAAATTATAGGGGCACTAACAAATAAATACAACCTAGTAACAGGTAAAATCGCTCCTGATGTATTTTCCATATTAATTACCTACTTTTCATATTATTTGCAAATTTAGGTTTTATTAGTATCTCCTGATAGCTTTTAAGAAGTTTTTAAGTTTTTAAGAAAAAGTGGAGCTTAGTTATTTTAAACAAAACGTATTTCGAATATAATTATTTCACTGTTAACAAAATTTTTACTTACTATATTAAATGAATTTGGTGGCACAGAAATAGGTACAAAACGTTCGTAGAGAGATTTTTCCATTAAGCGTAGAGCAGGAATAACGAATAATACACAAGTAATTGCACAGGAAAATGGATTACCCGTTATGCCAAACACCATTTTCCATGTTTCATTATACATAAGTGTCGCAAAGGTCGTGTATTTTCTATAATACAATGATAATCATTGAATCATTGAAATCTTTCAAATTACGAAACTTTGACTTACCCGGGTTTCATGTTTACTCTGGAAAAATGTATAGTAGCTTGAAAATCCTCAACGAGGACCCGTTTCAACATGTCCACTTCTCCCATTGAACTGTTCGTTATAATAACATCGTTACAAGTAAAACTTTGTTCAAGAGCTTGCTTTATTGCATCAGGACTAAAAATTATTGTATTAAAAAAGGGTCAAATACATCAGGATTAATTATTACTTGTCTTTAGCTATACCACAATCGTTTGATTTATAACGGTAATTTTTAAGCAAATTAATTAAGGTGAATCTATTTGCATCTCTGATTTTGCCAGGGGCTAGTTCTTCTTTAGGTTCACAAATATAATTGCCAATTGATATGACTCCTATAGAAGGGCGTCTAGAAAAAAATGTATTACAGTAAAGGAGGGAACTTTTAGGAAACTGAATATTTGAACTTACTTATAAACCAAAATATTTGTTTTTCCTAACATGGCTAAAACTCCAAGAGAGAAATGTTTGATACGTTCGCCTTTTTTTAAAACCAAAGAATTCTTCGATACGTCGCTTCCGATTATTCTAAAAAAATTACTAAATATGCCACAATTGTATTAAAAATGTTCCCTCACCTTATGTTTTCATTATAGTTGGGTGCTCTTTTGATTTCAACCTTAATTACTTCAGAACCATCAATCGAATATTCAACAACTGATGTATCTTCCAATGGTACCACTGCGTCTGCTTCCGCAGGAATTGGATCTCCCATCGATATTGTTTTCGCTTCGCCTGACTGCAGAACCTTATCGATTGACTGCAACATTAGAAACTCCATTTATTACAATTCTAATGAGCTCATTCTTTAGAAATCTTGTAAATGTATCTACATACCTTATCTTCTGCAGTTGTGACATTCTTTACAACACGTATTCCTTTGCCATCGCTCTTTTTAACAGCGTAACCATCTATAATCGAAGTTGCAAATGAAGGAATCGATTCTTCAGCATGAATATCTTCTGCTACAATTCGATTAAGCGATCTCTCCAAAGGCACCGTTTCTGTGGTTTCCTCTTTATCAAAACAAATATCCTTAATAATTAACCGCAGAAGCAGAATAGCAGAAGCATATTCAACATCGATAATAGGGTAGCGGTATTTTCTTAATGAAGCCAGTTTCACCTACGAAAATAAAGACAAATTCGAATTGAGTAATAGTACTTTCGCTGATATCGAAGCTGTTAATTTTATAAATTACCTTACTAGGGCTGGTGGTTGGGACAACGGATGCTCCTGAGTCGCTTTGCATGGCTCCGTGACCAGAAACCACAGATTTCTTCTGTTCTGTTAGGAGCTCCAAAGCGCGGGGTAAGGCTTCCTTGATGATACCGAAGCATTCCGAAATCATTTCGGGGCTTCCCGGCAGATTTACTATCATCGTGTTGTCTTTAATATAGCTCAAGGGTCTGGAGAGCATCGCCATTGGATTGATCTTCAAGCTACTGATAATCATAGCAAAGATCATGTCTGGTAGATTGCCTGTTGTGAATATTACGTTGATTTTCAAGTCGAACCATTCTGTAAGAGTCGATTTAATTTCCTGCAAATCGTCTGGTACGATTTTTATTGCGCTTATTTCGGCAGATGGAAACTCCTTTAATATTTCTTCTTTTAATTCAGGACTTGATGAATCATTGCCTTTACTCGAATAACTGCTGTCGCTGACTGTAATGAAGAGTCAATTTAAATTGAAGAAATGTAAAATGAATTGCCTACTTACCAGTAAGTATTCCGAAGCTTATCTCAACAGGCATAATAAAAGTTCTATAAAATATAAAGAATAGATGTAATAAGAGTAGCGGGAGCGGTCTACCTAATTTTTTTATACAAAGTATTTATTACAAAGTACAACAGCAAGATTTTGAAAATTGACTCAACATAAAGCTAGAGAAAAAAAATGTTATTGTTATTATTTATAGAATAGCATGTGGGTAATTCAATTTACAGAGAATTGGGGAAGTACCAGTATTTACTTAAACTTAAATATACCTAGGTATCTTCATTAAACAAACGAAAAGATTTTACTAGTACAGGGTGTCCCAATGAAAAGTTTTCTCAAAAATGGTTTTCTCAAAAATGTTTTATTTTATTACAAGTTTTATGAAACACCCTGTACAGGCGATACGAAATTTTTGTGTTACTGCTACAAAAAGTTATAGCAAATTAAAATATATATTCGAAAACCGCAAGTTTTATGATTAGGCGTTTAAAAATTATTAGCCCATTAATTTTTGTATTTAAAGGGGATATTTTTCATTGGGACACCCTGTATTACGAGTATATAATAATTTATGTTTGGAAGAGCAAGTAAGTAATTCAATTTATTGAGAATTGCGGAGGAATCAGAATTATGGAGGTTGAGTTTTTCTTTCGATGTTTACTATACATAAATCTGTTTGGAAATAGAAAAAAAAGTTTAAATGGACAAATTTAATATTTGCAGTTTTGTGAGACATGTTTCACAACCAGTACATCAATTTTGCAAAATATGACACCTGTCAAAGTATTTAAATTTACTTGGACGACGAAATATGTATGGGTAGACCGCAAAAATTATGGTAGACCGCCTGCTAGACTGGCTACAAAATGATTTTACCGTACCATAAACGTGGCGAAAAAGCTTGTGTTGGGAAAAAAAAATAAAAATAGAATTTTCTAATAAAAAAAGCAACATGTCTGCCGGTGCTTCACCGAATATTTAACGATCAACTTGAATAAACGAAATAATCGATACAACTTATTGTTGAAAATAAAGAAATAGTTTATTAAGCAAAAATACATCTTCCTGTTTAGTTTGCATTATAAGCAAAACTGTACGTGACTCGATATTTGTTTTTTTTTTAATTACCTACCGAGTCGCCATTTTTTATGAGAGAATTTACTAACGAACATATTATAAAAAAATTGAATTTCTTCTTTTAGTCTTTGGATAGTTCAGAAGTGTCTTCCAATTATAGTTAAAGTGAATTAAAATAATCATTTATTTCGGTATATAAAAGACAATTGTGTTTTATAAAGCCATTTCCACGATATTAACGATTTAATAAAAACAATATTTATCGATATTTTAACTATTTAACACCTAAATAAACTTATAATTTATGTAATAATTATACAGACCTTTGCTATTTTTCCGGTGAACCAATTAACACAACTGAAACAGTAACTAATCTCGATGAATTAATTTCTCACTACGTTTTAATTTAGTAAGACTCTCGAACAGATACAGGTAGTTTAGATTCAGACTTCCAGTGAAGAAAGAAGTAAAAAAGCGCTGTGCTGTGGAATTTGTGGAAAATGCGACGTTGCCAAATATTCCTCTCTTTATCTGGGATTACCCTATGTGGGGATGACCAATCACAAACCCTCAATCGGCTCAATTGATATAACAGGTAAAAGGTGGAGAAAATTGAGTAGAGAATTGTCGTATGTACATACACCGTAGACAAAATAGGTACTATTTAGTACTATTATCTGTTTATATGTTAAAAAAATCCCTAAAACGAAAACGGTGCAAAGAAATGGCTAATAAACACAAGCACGATCGTATACTACAAGTTCTGGAAACTCGAATAATTTTATTGGCGTTATCTAGTTGATGAAACTATAGTTGAATAGTTTACTTCAATATAAGCTCTGTAAACATCTAAATTGTGACAATCTCTAGCAATCTAAATGTTGAATCCAAAAAATATCCTTTACAACATTGACGCCTGCCGGTTGTTTTAGCAAACTACGCACCATTCCAGTTTCTAGACCTTATAATTTACGACAGCGAACTGAAGCTTCTTACAAATACGAGCAGTGTTGCCAGTGCTATTACAATCGTAATAGATCTATTACAATGAAGATTCATCTATTACGCTATTTCTGTACGTACGGAAAAGTACATAAGTACTTTTTTGAATTTTATTTAACAATTCTTCTTCTCTTTTTCCGAATGCCTATGTATATAATTATGAAATACTAAAAGACAATATTTCAGATCTAGTACACAAAAATCTATTACAATTTTCAAGTTCTAAAAATCTGTCAAACAACTATCTTGAAACACGTTTCTGTACGTACAGAGAAGTACAGAAGCACTTTTTTTTTACTTTTTTTAATAATTTTTCTTTTCTTTTTCCGAGAATTTTCAATAATTCAAATCTATTACACTTTGTGCAACACTGAATGTGACAGTAATGACAGCAGATGAGTGACGTTTGAGGTTAGGTTCGGAATAATCGAAGAGTAAATAGGAAATTTAGCGAAGAAAAACTTCTGAAAATGCCGAAAAAGAAAACTAGACAACGGAAAAAGACCGAAAAGACCGAAATCAAAACTTCCATAAAGTAACATCGAATTGGCCGAGCATTCTTGCAACGTGACGTGAAGTATTTAGTATGCTAACGTACTTATACTTTATAATCAATACTAACCCGTATCTGGGTAACAATATCTTTTATTTCGTTGCTATTTATTGTTATTCACATTTTATTGTCATTCTGTTTAATAAAGCCTCAGTTAAGAAAGGTCTGTTTTCACTACAATTTATTAAACAGAATCGTATCTCATGGATCAACTCCTTCGCCCTCAACGATTCGATGCTGACCCCGGTGCTCCTAAAGCTTCGCAAGAATGGAAGCACTGGCTGCAAACTTTCGAGAACTTCGCCCTAGTCGCCAGAGTGCAGACGCCGGACGGAAGCATAGCGCTCGACGATTCCTCCAGGTTCAATCTTCTCGTCAACTACGTGTCTCCGGCCGTTTACGACTTGATATCCGAATGTACCACATACCCCGAGGCCGTGGCTACGCTGAGCGGGATATACGTGAAGGAGGTCAACACGGTATACGCCCGCCATCTCCTCGCCACCCGGAGGCAACAGATGGACGAGAACATCGACCGGTATCTACAAGATTTGAGGTCGCTTAGCAAGAACTGTGGCTTCAGAGCCGTTGACGCTGAGACATATAGGGAGGAGTACATACGTGATTCTTTCATAAGCGGCTTGACTTCCGGAACCATCCGACAACGCCTGTTGGAGAACGCCGCTCTATCGCTCCAACAGGCTTACGACCAAGCCCGAAGCAGCTCAACTGCAATCCAGCTCCTACAACGCTTCAAATGAGTTGAGTGTCAATTCCTCGTCAATGGAATCCGTCGATTCCGCCCAGCTAAATGCGGTACAACGAAATGGCCGCGCGAAGTGCTACTTCTGCGGTGGCGATCAACACCCCCGACAAAAGTGCCCGGCCAAAAGCTCGGTATGCAACCTGTGTAATAAAACCGGCCATTGGGCCAAAGTTTGTAAATCTTCTGCGGTCAAGAAAACTGTCGTGTCTGCCATCGATGAGCCCGTCGTAATAGCTGCTTCTCATCCGCGACTGACCAAATCTACCATCCGAATTTTGGTCGGCGACGCGTGGGCGGATGCGCTAGTGGACACTGGTAGTTCTGAGAGCTTTATTGCGTTGTCCTACGTTCAATCGAGAAACATACCCATAATCCCTTCCTCGGGACGCGTCTCAATGGCCTCAGCATCGTTAAATGCTCCTGTCAAAGGCCACTGCTATGTCGATCTGCAAATCCTGGAGCATACCTATAAAACCAGCAAGCTTTTAATATTAGACCATCTCTGTTCGGACGTCGTACTCGGCCACGACATCTTTAAGCATCATCGCTCCCTTGAACTTCAGTTCGGTGGAAAAAAGGGACCCGATTCGAGTGTCGTGCTTGGCCGCCGCCGCCGTACCTGAAGCTGTGCTGTTTTCCAACTTGGACCCGTCGTGTCGCCCTATCGCTACTAAGTCGAGGCGATACTCTGAAGAAGATAACAAATATATTAGATCTGAAATCCGGAAACTACTGGAGGACGGGATCATCGAAGAAAGCCACTCACCCTGGAGGGCCCAAGTCTTGATAACGTCAAACGAAAATCATAAAAAGAGGATGGTGGTTGACTATTCACAAACGGTTAACCGATTCACGATGTTAGATGCTTTTCCGCTACCCCGAATCGACGACGTTGTCCAGAGGGTTGCTCAGTATCGTGTCTTCAGTACCATCGATCTTCGCAGCGCTTACCACCAGATACCCATCCGGGACGAGGACAAGCCCTTTACCGCTTTCGAAGCTGGCGGCCGCTTGTACCAGTTTACCCGGATCCCTTTCGGCGTTACCAATGGTGTTGCTGGTTTCCAAAGGGTGATCGATAGCATAATACGATCCGAGAGGCTAGATTGCACCTTCGCCTATCTGGACGACATCACCATCTGTGGCGGAGACGTCGAAGAACACGACAGGAACTTGCAGCGATTTCTGGAAATTGCAAAACGGTACAACCTCACTATCAACGAGACTAAGTCTAAGTTCTCACTTACCGAAATACGGCTCTTGGGGCATCATATAGCAAACGGCACCATAAAACCCGATCCTGAACGTCTTCAGGCTCTGTTGAGCATGCCGCCGCCCTCTAGTGTAGCATCTCTTCGTCGAATCCTTGGCCTGTTCGCCCACTACTCCCGGTGGATTCATCGTTTTTCGGAGAAGGTTCGTCCGTTGGCCCACGCTGACACGTTTCCCCTCTCTGAAGAAGCTTCAAAAGCCTTCAAAACACTCAAGGAGGATATCGCAGCTGCCGTGGTATGCACCATAAACGATAGTGACTTGCTAGTTGTAGAAACGGATGCCTCCGACTTCGCGATAGCCGCCACCCTTTCACAGAATTCAAAACCGGTGGTCTTCTTCTCCAGAACTCTTTCTGGTAGCGAACGAAGGCACTCGTCTGTGGAAAAAGAAGCTTATGCGATCGTCGAAGCTATAAGGAAGTGGCGGCATCTGCTCTTAAATCGACACTTTCAGCTCATAACCGATCAGAAGAGCGTTTCATTCATGTTCGACAACCTACGGTTGGGAAAAGTTAAAAACGACAAAATCCAAAGATGGCGTCTGGAACTGTCGCCATACAAATATGACATCGTCTACCGTCCCGGCTGTCACAACAGGGCAGCCGACGCTATCTCCAGAGTCTGTTCCTCACTTACTAGCGGCGCTGACTTACTCAAGATGCACGTTTCACTATGCCATCCTGGAATCACACGTATGTATCACTGGCTTCGGTCGAAGAACATAGCCGTTTCATTGGATGAAGTGCGGAAAATGAACGCTGCTTGTAAAACATGCGCCGAGATCAAACCGGGATTCCTGAAATTCCATGGTACTTTAATTAAAGCTACATCGCCTTTTGAAAGACTCACCGTCGACTTCAAGGGGCCCTTGCCTAGTTCTACAGGGAAACCATACATGCTGACCGTGGTGGACGAATACTCCCGGTTCCCTTTTGCGTTTCCCTGCTCGAATACTTCCGCTTCTGAAGCCATCAGACACCTCAACGGAATCTTCGTAGTCTTCGGCACCCCCGCTTACATCCATTCTGATCGTGGTACGGCCTTCATGTCGCAAGAATTCAAGTCTTTCCTAGATGCCCGCGGCATTGCATCCAGCCGAACCACTCCCTATAACCCCCGAGGTAATGGTCAGTGCGAGCGGTACAACGGCATCATTTGGAAGACCGTAACTCTGGCTCTAAGGTCTAAAAATTTGAAGACTAATCAATGGGAACAAGTCCTGCCCGATGCTCTCCACTCCATACGTTCCTTACTATGCACTGTCACGAATGCTACTCCCCACGAGCGCATGTTCGACCATCCTCGGCGCTCTTCTAACGGAACTTCGCTGCCGACATGGTTGTCTACGCCGGGGCCGGTGCTGCTCAGGCGCCACAATCTGAGTAACAAGTACGAGCCTCGCGTCGAAGAGGTTGAACTCCTACAAGCGAACCCTCAGTTCGCCTACGTACGGCTGCCGAATGGAAAGGAGACGACGGTGTCTCTTAGGCATCTGGCTCCCACGCCGTCGCAACAGCTTATTTCTCGCGAAGAAACTCTGGAACCTGGGGATTCTTCTGGCGACGCACCTACTCCCAGTATACAGAACGGTGTAGACGTCCCTAGCTCGGTACGTGAGACTGCAGAAAATCTTCCCGAAGACCCCGAAAATCCCGCTGATACTACAATCATGACGCCGAAGAAATATAACCTTAAATCTACGCTATCTACGGGTTCTGACACTTCTGTCAAATCGAACCGTGTTTCACAACGGGAAAAGAAGAGGCCTAAATACTTGGCCGATTATGTTCTCTAGCCAGGCGGGGAGAATGACGTGAAGTATTTAGTATGCTAACGTACTTATACTTTATTATCAATACTAACCCGTATCTGGGTAACAATATCTTTTATTTCGTTGCTATTTATTGTTATTCACATTTTATTGTCATTCTGTTTAATAAAGCCTCAGTTAAGAAAGGTCTGTTTTCACTACAATACGTATCTATAAAATACGACAGGTGTCACTTGTCACAGGTAAATCACAGCGAAAATTATTTAAATTATCAAAAAAAAAACAATTTTTAATTTCATCCTAATTTAAAGGAAACAGAAAATCCTTCTGTTACTTCTACCAAACGATACGGAGACTCCCAGACATGCAACTAATGCAACAAAATCAACAAAAATGCATTTTGAAAACCGCCAACTGCGTTATCAAACACCCCGATGTCTCCACCAAAGGAATAGGAGATTATTGTAAAAGTACTTTTTAATCAATTACTCGACTATAAATCATCTTTCGATTCATCCAGAGGGCCATTTTCGACTTCTACGAAATCTCCTAATGACCCCGAAGGAGGCTATTTGTGGAGATATTCCGAAAATTTCCTCTACTATATGAAGATCAATTTCGAACATTCAGACCTTCGTGGAAGTTAAATTACAATTGTAAGTAAGAAAGACTTGAAGTGTCTTGTAATTGAATTGAATTCGGGGGGCACTTTTTGTATTTGTTGTTATTTTTTTTTAGCTCTGAATCGTAAATTCGGTAGGCAAGTTCAAGCCGGTGGGTACGATGATGATAACTGTGATGATAATAATGATGATGATTAAGCTCAATCCAGTTGTTATACTTACGAGGATTAGGAAGATGATGATGATTACGAGGTGGATGAGGATGATGAAAGATCTAAATTAAAATAACATGATTATTAAAATATTTTCCAATAAAGAACCGTTTCCAATTTCTGGAGTTTTTTCAAATTATTCTAGACTGTTCTAAATGATTCTGGAGCGTTCTAAATTCTTCTAGATAGTTCTAAATGGTTCTAGACTATTTTAAATTATTGTGGAGCTTATAAATTAATTCTAGACAGTTCTAAATGGTTTAAGACAGTTCTAAATGTTTTCGAAGATTAGAAAATTGAAAATTAAGAGGTTGTTTAGAAACACAAACCTAGTGGACACGGTTCTGAGAGTACCTACTAATTTTTATAAAAATTTTAACAAGCATTTTGGACATTCTCAGAGAGTAAAAATTCGCGAGTTTGCTCTCGAAATGGATAAAGACCTGAGAGTACAGATAAGTTTACAAAATTTACAGATAGTTTAAGGTTTTGGGGTTGTTTTTGGGGCGGTTTCAGAGAGTAATTAGAGTTGTTTTAGAGTGATTTTGGAGCGGTTTAATGGCAGTATTTTTTGGGCGGTTTTAGATCGGATTTTGGAGCGAGTTTTAAAAGGTTTTTTAAACGTAATTAGAGCTGTTTTAGAAAGATTTTGGAGCTGTTTTAAAGTGGTTTTTAGAGCGGCTTTGTAGAGGATTTGGCGCGGTTAAGCAGTTTTAAAGAGATTTAAGGCCGGATTTGAATCGAAATTAAAGCGGTTTTAGAGCGGTTTTATCGAGTTTTTGGAATGGAAATTAGAGTTGTTTTAAAGTGGGTTTGAGCGGTTTTTTAAGCTTAATTAGAGTGGTTTTATAATGATTTTTAGAGAGGTTACTGGGAGGAGTTTTACAGCGGTTTTTATGGCGGTTTTGAATCGTTATTAGAGTTGTTTTAGAGCAGTTTTAGCGAGTTTTGTTTGTGGAAATTTGAGTTGTTTTTAGAGTAACTTTGGAGCGATTTAATGGAGGTTTATGAG